GAGGATGATCTTGGGTATACGCCTACGTTGTTGTAAGACCAAGCTAACAGCAGAACAAAGTTCGGAGCGGAATGGGCGAACAGTAAAATAAGGTTCGAGACGGAATGGGCAATGGTGGAATGTACGCGTAGAGGGCCGCGCCATACAATGAAGTCACTGTTTAAGAGGTCATCAGGCTACCTAGGTACTTCTGAGGGCTGTACGCCCTTACTCACCGCCCAAACGAGGGTAGAGGAGGAATTACTACCAACTGCCTAAGTAATTAAGGACGAGATGGTGTTGGAGGCTACAACAGAGCACAGACACTATCCTAAGACCGTTTGAACACTATATCACGCTTTTAACATCGTGCTTACACCGTCTCATCCTTGATTGGTTGGTAGAACTTTCTACTCGACCCTATATGGCGCGCTACGGTACTCCGGTGTATGACCTGGGGTAGCTGATTGACAGCAATGCCATTGTTGAGATGAGTGATTTCGTTGCGCAAGTGGTAGCTGCGGGCTTCCAAGCTCTTGCACCTGAGGACAGCGAAAGCCTGAAAATACCTAGGGATTTTGAGCAACACCACCGTTCTGCACTACAACGTGGTAAATAAATTCTAGGAAAAACACTATGTATACTCTGCAAAGCTGCGAGTAAAATGGTCTCCTTATATTTTTCTTTAGAGGCGTTACAGTCGAGGTAGAAGACGACCTACCAGCTTATGTCCGGCTTTTGCTGTCTCGCTAGAGCCAAGGTTCCTCAAATGTCCAAGAAACCAAGAAGCCTCTCGGCCGACAGGCACGTGACGTCGAGTGAGCCCCTCCAGTCTCCTCCATCACTGATAACCACGATACCGCGACACGGGCGGCACATCGGCCATGAAAATCACTTTTGCTCCGCAGAACCTCGCATCGCAGCCATCCCTGCCGCATTTCGTCATCGCAAGGCGTGGGATCGCTGAAAATAGCGGGCGCTAGGCCGAACGCAAGTAGCGAGTTCCTCGATCCACGACTTTCGGGAGAATCTCGACCCACGGCGAAGGTGCAAGCGTCCCAAAATACACATGGCATATCTCCACCTCCGCCACCGATACAGCAACCCGCAGTAAACCATGACCAACACGTCTCGTGGCCTCAGAGCTCGTGTTCTCAAGCCGATCCGTCGCCGAGGAAAAAGAAACGTCATCTTTAATCTTTAACCTTTGGTCTCATCGCCCAAGCACAGTCAGATAGACAACATACGCCTCTGTTCTGTTGGAAGGCCCGAGAGATGTAGACGCACCTGTCAGCGATCCAAAGAACCGGGGCTGCCCGGTTTGGCGGTTCAGAAACAGCACGTTGGCAGAAGAACGGTTTTCTGGTTCAGGAGCATGATAGCGCGCAGCTGGCAGAGGCCAGGGTCTCAGATCATTGTAGTGTCGATTGAACCCTGTGATTTCGCGCACTACGGACAATGATCTGACCACCACAAAAGCTAACATGACATAGTTTCTCAACATTGAGCTATGCAAATTTTCTCTCAGCCACAACGATCCCGAGAGAGGGGCGCGTTGGACATGAGACCTTCAACGACTGTATACTCTCCACTCCGGATAACATCTGCAGCACACGAGGTGTCAACGGTTGCAGCCTTATCCTATCTCTCACACCTGATACGAGATAATGCCGGTGGTTGTAATGCCGACTATGCCGCACGAGTCATAGCGAGCGAACTGTATTGCCTCTCCTGTGCTAGCGGCGTCCTGCTAACCTGGAATGAACACGAGATCTGTGGATACACAATAGTCCAAGTTGCTAGGGCCGCAGACTGTTCGATTGAAGCCTCCAAAATGCATGCGCTTGCAAGCATGCGCTCCTGCACGACGAGGCCGTTCGCCCCAAGGTCTTACACAGAGCCTCTGATGGTGGTTCTTGATACGGGGGGCTCCACAGTCAGTTCGGCATATCATGTCGCATGTTCCTGTTGATTGAGACCTTTTCTTCACGCTCTCCATCACGCTCTACTCTTTGTGTAATACTTGTCCGTTCGCTCGGCCATCGACACTCGCTCCACACATCAGATCAAAGGGATATAGTCCATGCTATAATATCTTCTCTAATAATTAATACCCCACACTCTCACGACCTTCGCTACTAGATCTATCGATCTCTAATACCAACCGCCTATCAAATTCTGCGAGTCACAGCGAACACGCAACGCCTTATTCACGAACTTAGATATGCCTTCCACGACCATCATGAAGCAGGGCCTCGCCACTGCTGTTCTTGCAGCTCTTCCTTTGGCTGCCCGTGCCCAAGGCACCACTCCTCCTAAGCTCACCGCAGCCTGTAACGATGTCGCTATCTTCATGGCACGCGGCAATGACGCACCTTACAGCGATGGCCGTACCTCAGATTTCAGAGATACCGTCTGCGCAAAATTCGAGGCTCAAGGAAACTCTTGCGATTACATGGATCTCGTCTTCGATGCCACTCTCGGCGTGGAGTTCTGCCCTACTATCCAGGACGGTGCCGTCAACGGGGTCAGGCAAATCACCGAGTACAACGCCCAGTGCCCGGATACTTTAATCGTCGTCAACGGTTACTCGCAAGGTGCTATGGTTGCCGGAGCTACTCTGAGTGGCGGAGGCGCCGATGCCTGCGACGTTGACACCAAGACCACCGGCCTCGATGCCAACTCTCAAGCTGGTCAGGCAGTCAAGGCAGCCCTTCTCTGGGGTGATGTCAAGCACACTGCAAACCAGGTCTACAACGTCCTCGACGGAGCAGACAAGCAAGCTTGGGGCCGTACCGGCTCTAACCTTGAGCGTTTGAACACTTACTCCTCCGTCTTGAGGTCGTACTGTGCCGGCGGTGACCCAGTCTGCGCTGGTGGAGATGACGTAGCTCAGCATCTGAACTACTTCGAGCTCTACACCGAGGAGGCATCAAACTGGATCGTGAGCAAGCTGACACCTCTCCTGGTCAATCCCTCATCGGCCGCGCCTGTCAGCTCAGCTACTCCTACCCCTACCCCTGAGGTCTCCTCAACTGCCGCACCGGTCGAGACCTCAAGCACAGTTGTGGTACCAGCCTCCTCCGAGGCCTTGACTGTCAGCAAGGAAGCTGTTACCACCACCATGATGAAGCCATCTACCATGATCTCTTCATACATCCCTGTCACCACTGCGAACGCTACTTCCACCGCAACTTCCGAGGCGGCTACCGCATACCCTATCACCATCCCTCACAAGCACCTCAACACCACCGTCCCGTACGGCAACTCTACCATGCATGCCTCCAGCACTCTCATGACCTCTGAGAAGCCCTACGAGACTACCTACCTGCCTGTCGAGCCCTCTCACGCGCCTGTTGAAGAGTCGCATGCTCCCGCTCCCGCTCCCGTCACCACCATGGCACCAGAGCACTCCGCTGCTGCTGCTGCTTGCCCACCAGCCACCGTCTACGAGACCGTCACAGAAGTTACGTACATGTACGTATAAACTGGTCTAGATCAGGAGAATTGGGTTGAAGGGAGGATCACGAGAGATATGTTAGATTGGATGTATATATTACCCTTCGTAAATGGAAAAACATTCGTATAATCATGATAGAATTTGTTCTACACGGCCCGTATTTACATTTGATGTTTCCTCCTTAGATGCCCAATGCCTTTGCGATAGCCTCTCCGACTGCTGTGGCACTGGTAGGGTTCTGCCCAGTGATCAAGCGACCAGAGATGGCGACCTTCTCGCCCCAAGGCTCAGCTGCCTTGACGAACTTGCCTCCACTCGCCTTGTTCAGCGCATCCTCGGGCAGGAAGGGTACGACCTTGGAGAGGCCAACTTGTTCCTCCTCAGCGTTTGTGAATGCGGTAACCTCCTTGCCAGCGACAAGTAGACTGCCGTCGCTCAGCTTAGCATCGTAGAAGACAGCAGGCGCATGGCAAACAGCCGAAACGATCTTGTCTGCCTCCCAGAATTCCCTGATGAGTTGTTGCGAGGTCGCGTCGTCGACGAGATCGAACATGGGTCCGTGACCGCCAACGTAGAAGATGGCGTCGAAGTCCTTCGCTTTGCCCTTGAAGTCGCTCAGCTTCTGGGTTGTCTTCCAGACCTGCTCGTTGTTCTTGAGGAAGTTGACGGATACATCATCTTTCGCGGCTTCGACGGATGCGGGGTCGAGAGGTGATTCACCGCCCTTGGGCGATGCTACCGTGATGTTGGCTTTGCTGTGGAGGACATGGTAGGGGTGGGCGAGCTCGGGGAGGTACCAGCCGGTGGGCTTGCCGGTGTCGCCGAGCTTGTTGTGCGAGGTGAGGACGAAGAGAATGTTTGGCTTGGACATTTTGAAGGTATGATGTGTTTGATTTGGTGAGTTGGTGCGTAGAGTCGTTGTCTTTAAACCTTTTATGAAAAGTTCGATAGCTTTCCACTGGAGAGTACCTTGCTCAATGTGACGACATGCGGGGTAGCTACGATGGAAAAGGCCCGATTATGCAGGGCACCGTCTGTTAGCGTCAGGGACGTCATCTTGAAAAATTACCTTTCCTGCTCGCCGAGTACAAAATACTTACAAATACTCCAGCATGTGATCGGCCAGCTCTGGCAGCTGTTGTGCGACATGCTGCTCCATTCCCCACCCAGATCTCGGTGCAGCTTACGTTTTGAGTAGAATTTGGACGACGATGACGTTTTGTCAGATTCAGCCTTCCTCTTTTTGTTCAGGACATCTCATTCGGGAGCATGCGCTGGCGAGCCTTCGGCATCTCCGGGCAGCTTGGAGGTGTGTAGCATCTCAATTGACGGTAAGGAGGCATCGCAGCCTGTCATTCGATATGGTGGAGTGCAGATCTTGTTCCAGAGTAAGCATCAGTCAGCGTCGAGATATAACCCCTTTACTTTACGACTTAATGCCGAAAAGTCTCCTAATGACGTCGCCGATTATCTCTACTGGATTCGCTCTCCTGGGTCCCACTCTTTCCCTGCTACCAGGTGTCTGATATGGGTTGCCCAATTTGTGATTCAATGAGTGTGTTTAGCGATAGCGAGGGCAGCTGTTTTGCCGAATAGACATTTGTACATACTGATCTCCTCCGCATACTTCGAAATCAGGTTCAAAGTCATTATACGTCGTGAGATCCTTGGGTATGTCCTCGACTATAAGCGCATAGTCAAACACCATGTCTGTAAGCTCTCTCGGCAACCTGAGTCCTACGATGTGATACACGTTTCTTTTGATTTCGGCATAAGCCTGGCGTTCAAAGATGTTGTAGGCTGCCACGAAGTCGGACTGGACGCAGCCGTCTCTGTCGAACCCATCCCATCTGTCGTAGTTCTCGTCGAGGACTTCCCACTCATGATGAATAGGACAAGCAAGCATGTCTCTTGCCCATTCTCGGATATCTCTACATGCTTCAGCGGCCCCGACAAATAGTATAAGCTTGCAATAGAATTCCTCGCCATGTGTGGGGGTCTTTCTTTTTTTCCAGCCGTAGAATGTTCGAAGCAAGAAATTATCGAGCTCCTGATTAGCAGAACAACCGAAGAACTTTTCGTCCCTGTGTAACAACTCCGTTTTCGTGGTCGTATACCAGTCGACTGCTATGTCCAAGCAACCGACAGCTTCATCGGCCAAGTTCTGCATCATGTGGAGCAGTCGTGGTAGGAAAATCCGGCGGAAGTATCTTCCCAATGGATCATCCTTTATGGGCCCGTTAAGGTGCCGCTTGTCCCAGGTGTTACCGCGATCCCACGCCACTTTGAGGAAGGATAACGTGGTCCTGAACCTATCGTAGACTACGAGGTCGAAAACTTCTGTGTCAACGGAACGGCGCAGATCTGTTAGAGCCTTGAAGACCTCTTCGGGCATGTCTTGGTTCGGTTGTCAGTACGATACAGACATTGGGAGGTGTGTACAGACCTTCCGAGAAGACGTCATACAACGTCCAATCCCGAAAACGCTGTCCTTCGTCAATGTATGGGCCCACAGGGAACTCAAACGTGAATTGATAGTTATCTAGGTTGCCCATAGTTTTGACAAAAAATGCAGGATGGATGAAATGTAGAGGCGACGCGGTTTCGCGCGCGCAGACGCGCAGCCATCTGGGCAACCTCGGGAAGCTTGGCGTTAGCCCTTCTTCTGGCCACAATCCCAGCGGCGCAGTCAACACACCCACGGTCGACATAGCATAATTCATACTCGCTTTTACCGCAGGCTTCAAGAGCTTCATGAGTCATTTCTATCTTCTCGAATCATGTGCATGCAGAGGAGCTCTTGGATGCGCTCGCGGCTCCTACCGAGAACTAACGGGCCATCGTCCTCTTCCTCAAGCATACCTACCTAGGTAGGTACAAATACCCATTCGGTATCTTAACCGTCGTTGGGAGAACGCAACAATCACGCCGGTCAGAAAGACCCCATAGGTCACGCTTCAGGGTTGGAGGTGTTACCTGCTTTCAGCGTTCGCGGATGGTCAAGCTTCTGGTTGGCCAATTGTTCACCTGGGTCGCGCAAATAGCCCGATTCGACATCGTGTGCATCTAGATTGCGGGACATGTGGATAAAGACAAACTACTCATACGGTCTGTACGCATCCGCGAAGGCCACAAAGACAAGTGTTAGGGATGTATAAAAGACGGGTAGCCATGAGCGGTTTACATGGTACCTACCTCCAGGTGGAGATCATAATTCGTCGCCATGACATCTTTCGACAACAAAACTGTCATCATCACGGGTTGTAGCAGCGGCATTGGCCTCGCGACGACCCTCCTTTTCCTATCACAGAAAGCCCAAGTCTTTGGCATCGATATGTCGCAGTTCGACCAAGACCTTGATGTCACCCAGAAAGCGTCTTTCACCTTCCATAAAACCGATCTTTGCAGATCCGGCACAGCAGAAAAGGCCGTAGCTGCTTGCATCGCAAAGTACGGACCGAAGATCGACGTGCTGGCTAACGTTGCAGGCATCATGGACGGTTTTGGCAGCGCCGATACAGTCAAGGACTCGGAATGGGAGCGCGTCCTGACCATCAACCTCACAGTACCGGTCAGAATGATGGCGGCTGTGTTGCCCAGTATGAAAGACCAGAAAAGCGGTGCCATTATCAATGTTGGTAGTTATGCAAGTCTTTCCGGTGCAGTGGCAGGCATCGCATACACAGCCAGTAAGCATGGGCTTGTCGGTGCGACCAAGAACGTCGCGTGGCGCTTTCGCAAAGATGGTATCAGGTGTAATGCCGTACTCCCAGGTGGTGCGTATCGCGTCTAGTCCTGGAACTTAGAAGATGTTGTTCTAACAAGAGTTTCAGCCGTGCCGACCAACATCCGCTCGTCGGTGGTGAAAGAGGACGTCGATCAGGCTGCAATGGAAACGTACAAGTAAGGGTTTACAGCCCTTGGCACCCTGTCATTGCTGACAAGCTCGCAGCCCCGTGCAGATGTTATGCCAAGGTCTCAAAAGAGACGATCTTCCATACGGATCAGTGGGCCCGAACGATATCGCACAGGGCATTGCATTCCTTGCGTCTGATGCTGCAAGGACGATCAGCGGTATTATGATGCCGATAGACAATGCTTGGTCGACGATATAGGAGACGGGCTCAGTACTACAGAAGCTGCTCGCTGATGGCGTAGCGCGGCGCTTCTCCAGAGGACTCAGTCAACACAAGCAGTCAACACAAGAAATCCGGAGACTTCGCCGACAAGTTCGAACACGTAGTAGAAGATGCCGGCCTATCTATCAAGTTAGTAAATGATAGCGAGACACGAACAACACTATCCCAAAGCAGGAAATTATCAATCAATGAAATTCGTTATCGCCTGCTGGGCACAGTCATGCCTCTCCGACAGCAACATCCAGCTCTCGCCGCCTCTTTCGTGCTGCCGCTCATCCGCGCAGCAACTCTGCCAAGAATGCCTCCGTCGGCTTCACATCGAGAACTGTTCCAACCATGCCTGCCTCTACTAGGCCTCAGTCCACAATCAGGCGCTGCACGGTCCTGACCGCTAGCTCCGCCTCGTTGCAACAACCACTAGTTCGACCTCGACCCAGCACAGACTCATCGGAGAAGCTGTTCAGCGAAGGAGTCGGCCTTCGGGGACTGCCAGGATGGTGGCCAGGCTTCCAGCAAGTTTTGCGTACATGCAGTTCGCATGTTGACATACATCCAGGTGCTCTGGCGCAGATACGTCCCCTAGCGAATCAAGCCATGATATCTAAGCGCTGCTTTGCACCAGTTGAACTGCATTCTCCCGATAATGTCGGTCAGCTCTTTGCTGTGGTACTTCATCGCAATGTCCACCCGTTCCTCGTGGGTCAGATTAACGACTTTCTTATATGCCCATGGGCAATCTCCAGGGAACGTGAAGTCTTCTGGGCCCAAACTCATAGCCCAGCGGGTGAGCCAAGGGCCGTATGGAAGTTCTTCCGGCTCGGGAGACTGTCGAGCAGTTCTTGCACGCCTCTTTGTCTTTGGCCGCGTCGGCGGTGTTGGTTGCTGGGAAGGTCCTTGATAAGGCCCCGCTCCATTATCGGCAGTATCCCTCATTACCCTCGGTTGCGTTGGTGGTGGCACCTGCTGAGAAGCACTCTGACTTGCAGCCTCCCTTTCTGCCCTCATCCTGGCACCGGGCAGCTTGTCGGGATAGAATTCCTCGAAGGCGTCCCATAAAGGCGCCCACTCTCCATCCAGGAAATTTCCCTGTGCAATCGCATCCGAAAGCTCATTGACAATATTCAAGGGGACTTGGAAGAATGGCTTGCCACTGAACGGAACTTCTGTCCCTTCTTTGTCGAATCTTGCCGGCAAGCACCACTTCTTGAGGTCTAGAGGCTCATCCATTTCTTTCCTTAGAGCATCGAAGGCTTTCGCCAAACTCTTTTGCGGGGCATTAGATCCAGCCCAAGTTCGCGAAGGTAAGCGTAGACAATCCTTCCGACTTCACTTTCCGTAGGTTGATGAGGCGGGGAATGTGTTTCCTCGGATTCCGGCGTGGGCAGTCGTGGAGGTGGCGCCATCTCAGTAGCCTTGCCTTTGCCCTTGTCTTGTCTCGATTGTAGTGGTGTTTCCGGAAGTTCAGTATGCTCGGCTCTGAATTGCATTGCCGCACGCGAAGATACAGGAGACGAGATGTCCATAGCGGCTTCAGAGGGAGGGATTGAAACGCCTCCATTAACGCTTACATTGCTCAATGTAACACCACCATCAACGCTTTCTGGAACACCGCCATCAACGCTTTCTGGTACACGTCCATCAACGCTTTCCATGTCTACATCCTCGGTAAGGTCCACGTGCACTCGCTGCTTGGTGGTGGACGCCGACCGCGACTTCGAATTGCTGGAGGATGCTTTTCGGGAGTTGTTCTTGGACTTGTGTTGGTTCGGGGAGGTTGGGAGAGGTCGTATATCGTCGAAGAATCGCTTCTTCCTTACGGAGACTTCTTGCTCCGTAGGGCGGGCGCGCTTTGCGGGAACGTGTGGTTGTTGCTGTTCGGTCACATCATGGTATCTATACGAAGAGATCAGCTGGAGAGCTCTTGTAACTACTCGCAAGATGCTCACTCTACAGGATCGGAATACCCCAAGCGACCTTTCTCGGGTGGATCCAACGAGGTGGTGGACCGTTCGTTGTGACATCTGCACGAGCGAGGATGAAGTTCCATCGCTTCCATCTGATCTCCGTTTTTTTGCCATGGTGGCAACTTACAATTCGTCCACCAAGTATGGCTATCGCTGTGTCGAAGAGCTGTCGTTTTCTCGTGAGCGTCTCACCACGTCAGCGGCCCGCTTGACTAGTTAGTGGCTTGGCAGCCTTCTCTGTCCCGCTTCTGGAACGCCTCCAGGGCTGCTGCATCGCGTCCTACACAGTGAAGGATTCCAACAAATCTTGCGAAGAGAGGCATTTGCAGGCATTACACAACACGACTCGCGTTCTTCGAATCGTCAAACTTGAAGTTGAGGCGAAGACTTACCGGGTCAGCCTCTCCCCTTACCTTCTTTCGGCGACGCATGCATCATCTGCGACGCGACGGCGCTTTAACATCCAGAGATCATACCGTAGATGATGAACGAGAGGTTGAACCTCTAGTCAGCGCAGCGCCACAATATCGATATACTATGAAGATACGGCTGGCAGCACTGGCATGAGAAATGAAAGGGTCATCGATCCTTTCGATCTGGCCATGTGGCTGGCATTTCCTTTTGCTGCTAACAACATTGGTCGCGCACTCTACCTGAAGTGCGACTCCGAAGAACCCTCAGACAGACATCGCGTGGTCAAAGGGCTGACACACTCCCGAGGTCAGCCTTCAGGTCGAGCTTCGCTGGGATCAATGTCGTCATATGGTCGAACAACGCATCAAGTGCCTGCTTCATTCCTCATTCGTCTGTCATATCTGCATATCAATATTATTCGCGTTAATCGCATCCCATTCTGTTGCTACCCCGAATACCTCCTAGGATCATCCACCAAATTCTTCAACCTCCACGACTTTGGATCGTCGCTGAGGTTTGTACCCGGCAGTATGAGCTCCGAACGAATTGGATGTGAAAACTCTAGGTCCGTTTCGTCCATTGAATCATTATCACTATCCGTCTCTTCGATCGTGACATAGCGCCCGACAGCGTTGCGAACGTCGGCACTCAATCTTTTCTTCATGACCATGAGCATGACACCGGCGATGAAGGCGCTTTTCGATTGCTCGTATAGGCCATTAAAGCATAAGACGAGTGTCGAGAGAAGGGATTCGCTGACTTCCTGGGGAGCGTTGCCTGGGTCTTGTTCGAGCTGTTCAAGAGGCTCCAGAGTTAGGTTGGCGAGCTGGGCCAGAAAGATGGTAAGCGTAGAGTCGTACGCCTCGAAACTATGGCGG